GAATGAGCATCTTTCCCATTCAAGCTGGGAAAGAGCTGTACAGCTGTTTTCACCTGGGCCTTAATATTTTGTTTTCTTCTGTGAGCTGCTGCTGCTTTTGGAGTCATAACATCCACTCTTGCAGTAAGCCATTAACACCACTTTGCTCTTTCTTTTTCTGCATGTATTAGGGAACACACAACTTTGGTGGGATCCGGGTGGGCAATGGACCAACTGAGGAGGATGCTGAGATCATTCAACATGACCAGTTATCTACCCATTCTGAGGAAGGGGAAGAGGTAAGCACCTGATCATCCTCTGTCTCAGGCCAGAACACTTTTGTTGGCAGAAGATGCTGGCTTTTTGCCTTTGTCTCCTGATTTCCAAGCTCTTAAAACTAAATAGGAATGTTTTCAGTGAAATGTTTTCATAGCAGTGAAGAACTATAGACCATCTTCTGGTCATGCCTAGGACTCTAGAAAAAAGCAGTGTAATTTGCAGATAAAGGGACATGTGACTCTGTCTGCCCTCATTACACAGATCCATCACCTAATAGGCTTCACAGTAAGAGTTGCACAGTACTCCCAGATGGCTTATTCAGGTTATGCTCTGACTGAAGTACAGTCCGTTTGTGCTACTCGTTTGTTTCTCCAGTGTTAGCCAAAATCCAAGGGCTATATTTCTGGATAGTGAAATCTTCTTTACTTGTTCGTTTTGACTGTTGGGTGTGATAACTGCTTTGCTTTACCTCTGGTAGAGAAGAAAAAGGAGTTAATCTCACTTACTATGAGAGCGTTCTGATGCCTCTAAGAATTCCCCAGCGTTATGTTGCCTCCGCAGTGTGTGAGATGTGTTACTGCTTTACTGTGTCATGTTCAGGAGGAAATTCATGAATGTGTTCATGATTAATGATGTGATTGAGACACTGCACTAAATGTAAACTTATGTTTTCAAGCCTACAGAGGATGAGGTGGTAAGACTACAGCCAGCTTTGCATTCATGTGTATATGGAATGTTTCCCATTGATGTAAACCACATACTGAACTGAACATGTTATGTCATGGCATCTTGTTTTCCAAAAGATATAGCTATTTACATGTTACAGCCCATTTTTAATTCTTCATAGAATGTTAACAGACCTTTAATTACTTCATCTGTTTAGTTTGTTTGTCTTATCATCCTGACTGCAGATCTTTCTTAGTTTTCCTGGAAAGCTGTTAATTCAGAGGTCTGAAACCAAAAAGTTTATACTTCTGAACTTTTAAAGAAGCAAGTCTCATTTGCCTTATGTTGTGCCATTGGTAATTCTTGACCACTATAAACTGTTTATAGATTATTATTTCTTTCAAGCTGTCTTCCATTTTAAGAATTTGGTTGCTGCCAGTAAAGAAACGAAGCAAGACATTAGCAAATTGAGTTTCACGTAGTTCAGCAACTTAAATAGCCAGTATCTTTCTGCAAAAGAATGGCTCTCCTCTGACAAACTCCTCATTCCTAAACGCTTGTAACAAGTATAAGTTTTAAAGGAATGCTTTTTAGGAATACTCTTAAGCTTGGCCAGTGTTTAATCTGAGTATTAGAAGAGCCTGTTCTTTGTTTCTATCACTGATATTTCTACAGCTTGTATTTTGAGGGACAGGGTTGATTATAGGTTTCAGTGCTATCAGGTAACCCATTGTTTTACCAAAAACGTAGATACCATGAAATCAGAGTATCTTTGGACAATGAAGCTGTTGTAAGCTATGCTGAAGGTGGTTTTGCTTAGAAACCTATTATGCGTAGGCCCACCTACGGGGTGAGGAGAGAAAATAGTGTACCTGGTGTACCTATATCAGTAAACAGGTGAAAAACGTGTAAAACTACAAACTGTGTGCCAAAGCAAACCTGCTTGTTCTCCCACTCCCTAGCATAAGCGGTAACGCTCTCCAGCAGTTGCGTGTAGCTGTAAATTGCCATTGTTTAAATATTTATCGCATTCCATTTTCTGTATGCTGATTTGCCACGTGTTTTGGGAGGTGGTACTGTTGACTGAGGCAAGCTTTATTGAAGAACTTTGCAGTTCACATTCTGTGGGAGAGAGCACTAGGCTTTTGACAGCTGATTTAACTTAGTTGTTTGAAATATTTACTGCCCTGAATATACCAGGGGAGAAATATGAATATAAATAGCTTGTTGTGCATGTTTAGAACATGAATCACTTGATATCTTTAAAACTTGGTGTTCACTTAACTTCAGTGTGAGCAGTTTCTGAAGCATGGATTAAATACAAAATGTAGGAAGTGCTTTCCCAAGCTGCAACATAAGAAACTGTCCTAATGACTGATTTCCTATGCGTTCTTTTCATTTATTTCAAAAAAATTACCAATGCACAGAGACTTTGCCAATGAATGGTGCACAGATGTGACTTTTTCAAGATCACTTTGTGCATTATTATTGCTTTCAAAAAGAGTAAGTTCCTATCTTGCAAGATGCTCTTGTTGATCTTGTAGCAAAGCTACGTACACAGTATTGACTTGGACTTTATTGTTATTTGCATAGAGAAGAAAAACAATATTTGTAATACTGTCTCCTTTTCCATAGAAATACATACAATTTACCAGTGAATTCATATAAATACCATCTCACTGCTGAACAGTCTTTTCCTGGCAAAGTCCACGGCTGATTTTAAACTATCTTGCTTTAATGTGATAGACTATGAAAACAATAATATTCAAGGTGCAGCAGTGGACAATCATTCTACAAAACTTAGCAAGACAAGAGAGTTCAATTATCAGTACATATATAAAATTGACATGCTAAAATAAACCCTCAGTGTTGAGGTAACCAGGAGAAGACAGTATCAGTGTCTGACTTCAAACATAATGCCCTCTCTAATAGCGCTGGGTAGTATCCTCAGTTGGCCAGCACTTGCTGCTAATAAAGGCTTGCAACTTTCTTCATTCTCTGTGTTCTTTTTGCAGTTTGACTTTGGTGATACTGTGGTATACCAGGCCATCCACACCATCGAATACTGCCTGGGCTGTATTTCAAACACTGCATCCTACTTGCGGCTCTGGGCTCTCAGCTTAGCCCATGCACGTGAGTATTCTGTCCAAAGTGGAAGTTTGGATCAGTGTCACAGATCAACCTGCACA